CCCTCTCCTGGGACACACAGCGCTGACTTCGAAAAATAAATTTAATTTTGAAAAAGAAAAGAAACCAAACAGAAATTTCTAAGAGCAGGGACAACCACCCTGCACGACCGCCACCCAGGGAAAGAGAGCGATCCTTCATGTCATATTGCCACAACAAGAAGAGGAGGAAGGAAAAAAGAGGGGGAGGGTCACGTGACATCATTGAAAAGAACTTTACAAGAAATATATGAGCATTGGCTGTGGTTGACTGCAATTCCATGACGCCTTTCACGGGGCGAACCCTTTGAATTGTCTTCAGGCGGTTCACATGTTTGTATGTTCTGTGTTCTGCATATGTCAGAGGTCCCACACACACACACATGATCTGTGCACTGCAAGTGGCCAACCAGTTAATTTTATGTGGTTCTCTCATTCTATTGTAATTATAAAATGCAGCCAGGCTTAGTGATGAAGAATTCTTTAATTTAAAGAATTAAATGTTTTTCATCATGTGCCAAAAATATTCAGAGAGATTTTCTGTCCATGGATGGTCTAGGACTCTGCAGCTCTTGGGTCATATGTGGGAAAGAACATCTCATTTCGTTTCATTTCATTTTATTTTCCATATACAGTATATCCATACAGGTTAACAAACCAGGATGTGGAAATGGTCCTTTTGAGTACAGATACATCAACATGCATATACAAAATTGCACGAGTCAATCAAACAAAGTCACTTACATCAACCTATAAACATAAATAATATTATAAGGTAAAAGAATTTAATAAAATTTCAGTTAATAGACATACTTAAAAAATAACTTACTATAAAACTTGTATTTAAACCATTTCATATCAAATACCTATATTAACTAGATAAAATACAGTCACAAAATTACACACCTGTGACCCATTATGCTTGTAATATCATCATCATATTTAACTCCCATAGATCCATACAGTATATACTTCAAAACACATTTAAAACTATTAAAATTCTAATTTCTATATTCAGATTCATTAATCCAATCCAGTAGTTGCTCCTAATGCCTTAAATGGGACTGCTGCAGATATCCAGACTAAAAGTATATTACAATTGTTAAGCTATAATATGTTTGCATATTATAACCACTTAGGTTGATAGTATTCTTTCACAGAATAAAAAGAGTGATGAAGTAAAAATCTTTTAGTCCGCTCTTAAAAGTTAGCACGTCAGAAGTCAACCCTATTAAAGCTTGAGGTAAATGATTAAAGGCTTTAATACCTGCTATATATGCACCCTTACTGTAATTTGTTAAGTTTACAGAAGGTAAATAGAGATTATTAAGAGATCTGGTTTTATACTTGTGAACCTCATTAATAGAAGTGAAAAGATGGTTATTATTAATTGTAAATAAAATTAATGAGTATATGAATTGAGAATAGAATGTCATTATTTCAAGCTTCTCAAATAAATGTCTACAAGACACTCTTGAACCAGAATTCATGATAATTCTAATAGCCTTCTTTTGTAGTATAAAAACATTGCCAGCACAGGAAGCGCCACCCCAAAAAATTATGCCATAGCTTAAGATCAAATGTATGTGAGCAAAATAAATTGACTTTAATGAATCTAATGGAATAAAATGCTTTATATTTCTCAATGTGTAACACGACCTTGAAATTTTATTGATAACGTAGTATATTGTTTCCATATGAGGGTATCATCAATGATTAAACCTAAAAATTTTGTATCTTATGCCTTGATTAAATTAATTTGATCATCTACAATTTTGGAACTAATGTTATAACAATTCATGGAACGAAATTCAACATATTGAGATTTGTTAAAATTCAAAGTGAGCAAATTAGTATTAAACCATGCAACAGTGTCTTTAAGAGTTTGATTAAGATTAGTTTCAAAATCTAGCTTGTTTGTGTCAGTTACTATAATACTCGTGTCATCTGCAAAAAGTACTATATTATTGTTTTTATTGTTAAATGTAATTCATTAATGTAAAATAGGGAAAAAAGTGGGCCAAGGATTGATCCTTAAGGTACACTGCACTTAATTACTTCCCATTCAGAAGAGCTTCTGCAGTCAAATCTGTTACCTATTACAACTTTTTGATATCTATCCGTTAGATAAGATTCTATGAGTGTTTTAAATTTTCCTTTTATTCCATAAAATATAATATTTTGTGATTGACACAGTCAAACGCTTTCTGAAGATCACAAAATATACCTCCTACCGTTAACTTATAATTCATATCATGTAGGATGCTATCTATCAATGAAAAGGCCGCCCGCTCAGTCAAAGAATGAGACCTGAAACCATATTGTTCTTGGGCCAACATATTATTTGTCTCGATATACTTAATGAATGCCTAATAAAGAATAATTAGAATTAGAAGACCACCCAAGTTTTTCGAATATCTTAGAAAAGAAAGTTAGCAGTGATATAGGCCTATAGTTAGCAACGTTTTGCATTTCCCATTTTTTAAATAGTGGTCTGATTATAGGAAATTTCACTCTATCAGGCAAAATACCAATACTAAGAATTGCATTACAAATGTAAGTCAGTGGGGAAATTATAAATGGAAGGCTTACTTTTATAATTCTGTTAGAAATTTCATCATATCCACTCGAGTTCTTCATCTTTAATGATTTAATAATTCTTGTGATTTCCTGAGTGGAAGCATATTGCCATTTCATCTTAGTGAAAGGTCTGCTAAATGAGTTTACTAAGTAATCTGTTGGAGTGGGTAGTTCTTGAATATGTTGCTATATGAGTTGTAGTGACTGCCATGGGCTTGGAAGTTACCCTGGGTTAATGGTCCTGTTGTATGTTTTTAGAGGCTAATCTCTAGTCACCTAAGACTATTCTGGTGTGAGTAACCAAAGCAAGCCTTTAAGTTGAACCCTCTTCTCTGAGTCCTTCTCTGGTTGTTAAACAACCAACATCAATGTTCTTCCTAGTTTTGGAGTCTTGGCAACCCTGGCAGGCATAACACACCACTAATAGTTTACAATTGAGCCAGTAGAAATTAACTCTACCAGCAGTGTTGTTTCTTTTATTGTGTAGGTGCTTTTTGGAAAGTGAAAGAAGTTTGTAGTCCTACTCTTAGTGAGTTTTGTACCATTGGAGTAGTACTAAATACAGAGTGTCATTTCAAAACATGCTCAAGAAGAGTTGGTCTTTACAGTTACACTGACATACAAAATGGAAACAAGGCACTGTTTTGTTAACGTGTGGACCAGAAACAGAAGTATAGGAAAATGCAACTATCTACTTTCACCATGAAGAATTAATGGTACCAAAATTGTAAGTGCTTGCACCTTGGGTGAACTTGTGCCATGTGATGGTCGCCACATGCGACTGTCTTGTGCCCAACTTGACGTCACTTTATAACTGCCTTCACTTGTATCGTGTTCCGGGACACCTTTGCTGAAGTTACGCTGCACTCTTTCCCTTCTCTCATGAATGTCAAGAAATTAGGCGGGAAGGAAGGAGAATTGTAGTTCCTGGTGCTAGTAGGCAAGGGTTCTTTTCATGTATGATTACCAAGGTGTCTCGCAAGTAAGGAAAAGTCAGGAGTATCTGGGTTCTGTTCAGTAATGGTAGAAACGAGTTCTTATCTAAGGCCATACGGGCCTAGCTTGGGCAGGGCGCAGGGATCCTTATGTTACAGTCCCATACACCACTGCAAAATTTTACA